TTGAAAACACCCCGTTTTAGGGGAAAAAATTAATTAAATTTTGAATTCTCAAAAACAGGTTTAGAAATAAAAAGAGAGTGATGGCGGTTCAAATTTCTCATTATTATTTTATTATTATTATTTTGAAAACATGAAAAAATATAAAAACAAATACAAAGAGTGAAAACAAAACAAAACAAGCAATATGAATGGAAAAAAAAAATCATATAATAGTACCAATTTGCAAAAAAATCCCATTAAAAGGACATAGGGTTTGTGAGTTATAGAAAGCTACCACATCAAAATTTAACCACTAATAGAAATCACTACATTATAATCCCATAGGCAATATCTTATCTTCACCACTATTTTTTTTTTTTTCTTTTTTTTTGGCCAATAGATAGGAAAATTTTATTGATGAAATCATTGATCATTACAACCTACAATCCAGAGAAACTTCCATAGTAACCCAACTAGGATTGATTCCCACCCAGGAATAGTGAGACCCCAAAGTTGGGCATACTTGGCTACTCTATGAGCCTTCCTGTTACAATCTCCAGAAACAAAACAAAAAGGACAATTTTGAATATTCGCAGCAAGTCACAAAGTATTATCAATGATGAGCCCAACTTGATTGTATTTCTTAGCACCAGTCCTAGGTCACCTTTTGAGTAAGTAAGTGTTTAATTACCAAAACAAGAATATACAATCAAGTTGAAGACAATGTCCAAATGGCTCGTGTAGATGTAGACAAGATCGGGCAGGCCAAAACAACAGGGAAGACAAATAGACTTCGCATAGAAAGCGGTGAGAGGCTAGGAACATAAAGCGAAAACAATTAGACCTAATCATGGGGCTTGAATCATCACCTTTGCGTTTGTGTCATGAACATACTCTTGCTAGTACTCTGCAGCTTAGGGAACAATTTTGTCAAACTCTCTACATTAGTTGTTGAACACCTAAGCATGGTTTTCCTAATAAACCAGCAGATACAAGCCCACAGATCTATAATTTATGCCCTTGATCGGATCCCCCATATTCTTCCACCAACTTGCAAATTCAATATTCCAAGAGATTTTCAGGTACGATCCAAAATGGCAACAACTACCAAACCTTCATCAATGCTTTAGGACATCTTAAAATCAGATGGATAACAGGTTCAAGCTCAAGCCCACATACTGGACACATCTCACCAAATGGAACTTTCCTTGTAGTTATTTCCAGATGAACATTTTTTATTTTATCTTGAGTCTTCCGATTCACCTGTTGTCCATCACTGCCACTAGCTCTGCTGATACGATAATGTTTTGGCAACAACATACACTGATCTAACAGAGAACAACCTATTAAGAATCACTGCATCCCTTTGTAATTTTTTTTTCCTACTCTCGCAATGTCAACTTTCTATTCGTTTTTCCCTTCATCAATAAGATCAGCAACTTTAGATACCAGGCAATCATTGGGCATCCTAGTTATGGTTTAAGGGTTATAAGGATCAGATTGCCAAGGTCTGATCAAATCTGAGCTTCATTTCCCATTTAAAACTCTATACCGCCAACCTGCTTCAATAACTTTCCTCCCCTCCAACAACCCAGGCCAAACCCAAGATGAATTACTCATCCCCTTTCCCTCCATAAAGGAGCCATTAGGGAAAATTTAGCTCTAAAAACCCTCTGAAAGAGAGATCCATGGATATTACCTAAATAATTAAATAGCTCTAAATTGTGCCAAAAATAGTCCCATATTGTCCAAGTTAAAAAAAGAAAAACAAAGAAAACTCAGCTTCAATATTCATCACATGACAAAATAAATAATTAGTTAAAAAATAAACTAGTAGACAAATAAATTATCTATATATCACCAATTTTTTCCTCACCATGTTATATCAAGGATTCAAGGGATACATGGTAAACTATTATTCGGCTTCATTATTTATTTAATACTTATTTTTAAACAATGAACCAATCGTGAGTGTCTATGTAAGTGGTGATACCAAAACAATCATAAATTTCAAAAACCAAGAAAACTATAAATTTCCCCATTGAGTTTCTGGAATCAATGCCTCCCTTTCAAAGCTTAGATATCTTTACTACCACCATCCCTCCTAAAGCTCTATAATTATGTTTACATTATCTAATTATTAAATTCTGATATGTTTAATTTCCAGCCAATGGAAAGCTAACTTTGTTAATGGGGTTTTTACCAGCTCAAATGCATTGTTCAATTTGCATTGGGGAATAAGTAAATATATGTTTATGTTAGTATTGCATCACATAATATAAATAATAATTACACAAGACAAGTGAAATTCTACCTCATTAATTGTGGAAACAAAAACACATTTTAACTCTCCACGAGTTCAACATTAGAGTATGGCTATACCAAACTGAAGGAAACTGCATGGATTGAGATGTGTCAATATCAATAAGACGTTTCACGCTTGTGACAGTGTATCCGCAATTGTAGTGGGAATGATCCACTTCCAGCATTGTTCCTCATTACTCTGCAAACTAAATCACAATACATAGGATTTTTCAAACACCTCTTTGCTCTATAGGATAAGTATAATGATCCACTTCCAGCAGTGTTCCTCATTTTCCTGCCAAACTAAATCATAATACAGAGGTTTTTTCGAACATCTCTTTGCTATATAGGATAAGTATTATAAGCTACTACAATAGTATGAGAAGTGAGAAGACAAGATCTAAGTGCACTAGTCCTTGTTTTATTTCCTTTCACTGCAAGAAAGTAGAGCTTCTTCTTCATTTTAAAAAGTGATCATTAGCATAACATAAACATTATACTTGTAACTCAAGGCATTAAGGCCTTGCTAAAATAAATCTGCAACATTAATCCCATACAATAGTTTATTTGTGACATGTAACATATCGCACTATTTTGAATAAACTTGTCCATAACTTTCAGCAAGATAGAATATAAAAAATGTTGTATGTCATTAGTCAAAAACTAAACCCAAAGATTTAAGTGTAAGAGGTAGATCCAGAAACAAGTTTTTTGTTATTAATAACAGTAATACTGTAGCAATTTTTAAGCATTGCTAATACATTGTTTTTCCTCAGACATGACAGATATTCTGATTTCCATTGGCGGAAAAGTTGCTGAATTATTGGTGGAGCCAGTGTTCCAGAAAGAGTTTGGACCGGTAAAGATATATCTTATGAGCACTTGAGAGTGTTTGGTTGCCGAGCTTTTGTTCACATTCCAAAAGATGAGAGGTTCAAGCTTGATAGCAAGTCAAGACAATGTATTTTTCTTGGCTATGGGCGTGATGAATTTGGTTATAGATTGTGGGATCCGGTCAACAAGAAAGTCATTCGAAGCCGTGATGTTGTGTTTCTTGAAGACCAAACAATTGAAGACTTTGGCAAAGGTGATCAACCGGAGCCAAAAGCTAGTGATCTCATTGACATGGATTTATCTCCTTCATCTTCAGTTGATGATGAAAACGGGGGAGATGTGCAGCCACCTATTGAAAATGTAGAGGATGATGCTAATTCTAATGAAGTTGAGTCAGAAATTGAGGAAGAGCATCCAACTCAAGAACTACCACCACAACTTGAGTTGAGGAAATCTACAAGGGACCGACAACCTTCAAGAAAGTATCCTCCCAATGAATTTGTGTTGATTTCTGATCAAGGGGAGCCTGAGAGCTACCAAGAAGCAATTGAGCATGCAAAGAAAGGTGATTGGAAAAAGGCCATGGACGAGGAGATGAATTCCTTACTTGAAAATCACACCTTATATTTCAGTGAAGTTGCCTAAACGGGTAGGAAATTTTGAAAAATAGTGGGTCTTCAAATTGAAGAATGTTTTTCAGGGCAAAGTCTGAGGTACAAGGCCGATCTTGTTGTGAAAGGCTTTGGAGCAAAGAGAAAGGTATTGATTTTGAATGAAATTTTCTCGCCAGTTGAAAGTGTCTTCTTTCGGTTGTACTTGGCGATGCATGCGGCAAGGTATGAATCCATTGAAGTTGAGCGAGAGGCTTTGATGTGAAGACGCCATTTTCTGCAGATGGTGATCTTGAAGAGAAATGTTACTTATTGGATGCATATCCTGTCGACAGCTTTTGTGGAAAAAGGGAAAGAGAAATTTGTGTTGCAAATTGAGTAGAAAGTTTGTTGGACTCAAGCAAAGCTCACGGCATATGGTCAAAAAAATATTGTTATTGGGGTGGTACCTCGGGGTCCCTGTTTCTCCTCCTGCATTGAAATATAATGGAAGAAGATTTATAGGAAGGCGCCGAGTAAATTGGTTTAAATTTTCTAACAACACGCACTATCGGACTCATCTTGTGTGTAGTTTGGTTTGTGGGATCATAAACCTTTTATACTGCGCTGATGTTTGTCGCTAATTCCGCCCTCACACATTTGAGATTTCTTTATGCTCCTTAGGTACATCGGCAATCTTTCACTCGTCGCAATAGATCTGCTGGTACACGATAGTTAATTGTGGGTCAACGACTCCTACCATGAAAACAGGTTGAAATTGAGTTACGAACCGCAAGGTGCTTTTCTCGACTATGAAAGATTGTGGGACGCCAAAGATGTTCACAATGTCTAAATATGATCGTGTGTATCTTCGTCAAAATTGTGCAGATCAACCAAGATCGATCTAAGATGCGAGCGCCACTGATCTTGGGTTATCTCCAGAAACGCAACCGTTCCGTATGAACGAGTTTCCTATGAGAGGTTCAACATGGAAAAGCAGAAGGATGGTTGATCCCCAAAAACTTGCAGGTCACTATTACCGTGTGATGCATTGGTGGTGAAGAATAACCGGGCCACTTACCACGCTTGTGAGGCCGTCTCCAATCATCAGTCCTGGTGTCGTGATGGAGTCTGATCAGGAGTCTACTAGACTCAAGCTTAAGTTTCGAATCAATGTCCTACAAGCTGCAGAAAGGACAAGGAAAGATGTTGCAAAGTTCCTTATGCT